CCCCCTTCAACTTCCGGTCATGCCAACTTACAAATCAATTCCACCCTTCTCTTCAAATAGAATGAAAGGTACTCCAACATGCATATCTTCTTGTTTTCATGCATTCTCGTGTCAAGTAAATAATTAAGTATTTTGATTTTTTACAAGTTTGCTAAGTATTTTAAGTCTTTGCGGCAGTTTCGAATCAGGAATGAACAATTATGTCTCATATTCATAACCAGCTCTGCTTGAGAAGCAACAGAATACCTCAAAGGTATGTGGCAGATATTGACTATCCACTTCTAGAAGAGAAGCTAGATTTAAGTAAATCTCCTGATGTACTGTTATTGGGTTCCCTTAACTTCCATCTAAAATTGTTTGCTGATGAGTTTCATGTGTCGATCTCACCAGAATGTAGCGGCAGATTCCCCTTGGTCTGTTGTCGTTCGGTTTAGCCGGGATATTCAGGTTGGCATAGAGAAACTTCGGCCATTTCTCCGGTTATGCATTCTGGGCAAGTCGGGTTTCAACCAAACATTGTTTTCATGTGGTCGCAATTTTGTTGAGAAGGTCATTACCCTAATTCTCCAAATGATAGCTGAACGTGAAAAGCGCTTGTGGAAGCCGTTATGTACAGAATTCATAAGTGTCTTAGTAGAGGGCAAAAACTGGACACGTGAGAGATTGACTTCATACCAATCGGTTTTCTGATTATTGTGTATCTGCCGCAACGTATAGGTTTAAGGATAAAACAGAAGTTAACAGATTGAGAAATCGGTTTAATTTAAGGGATAAGGATAGAAAGATTAAGAGGATAAAGTTGTGCTTAAATATTAGACTTAAGAACAGAGAGGTTTTTAAGCCAATTTCATGAAGGATTTGTCTTAGCTAGGCTCTTTGATCGTGATTCCTAAAGAAGTCATTCTTTCCACTCATTTGATTTTAACTAAGAACTGTATTCACTATAGGTCGCCTAAGGTGATGAAGGACTGACAGTTGAATTTTCCCACAATCATAAGAGTAGGCTTCATATGCGATTTTGAAACTGCAGTCCACTCTTGATTTAAATACCCTTTGGGAACTAAGGTCGTGGGAAATTAAATTTAAACTTGATGCCTATTCGTATAGCTGCGAAGAACATCAAATATCAACCCTTCATCACCCTAAGCGATCTAGAGTGGCTGGAACTCTTATTTGGGATTTTCTGGCAGTTTCAAAACCTACTCAAGACGACATCTGGTTTTGGCCAACAAGCTCTCCAGTCCAATCAAACGTGTGTCCAGTCAGCAAAATTTGATAGTTGAGGAAATAGATAGACTGAAAAACTTTCTATACCTCTCGAGTATATATATATATTTCAGTTAAGGAGAAGCCGATCAGCTTTATGGACTTGTCATTTGGCATAAGAGAAGCTTAACACTCCTACACCAGACGGAAGAAGAATGTCGTCATACAGCGCGGCGCTGGGATTGGCAAGAATTCAATGCACCGTATTCTTAAATGTATTAGGCAGTCATAACGACTTTTGAGTGCCGACACCTTTTTAAACCTCTTTTTGACGAAATCCTAAGGTATGGAGACCAGGGACAATCGATGAATAAACCTACCTAAAAATGACTGGAAAGTCGAGTGCACACCATGCATGTCTATATTTCAAGCTTCATCGGGATATTCGATTAACAGAGTTTTGGTACTGATAACCTTGGTTCACTAGCGACTATGTTTGCTTTTAGAGCATGCTATTCGGTTTGTTTACGTCATCAATGGCTCATCTCGCTGCCTGCTCAGAGCAAAATGTGCGTCATATGAAAGTGACAAAAAATTCCATATGCATGTGAAAATCGATTAGCTTGTGTATTTTTTCATTGCTTTTTCGGTATTTCTGAATAAGAAACAATACATTATCTCATCTCCCACAAATGCCTGCAACTTTAGAGCCAATGAAACAGTAGATTCGTATGCCTAGGACTTGTCTCCATCACAACTGATTCATCAAATTTCAACATAGTTGAGTTGGGCGAGCTTAAGACAATGGCTTGTTGGTGGCCTGAACGCCAGCATTAAATGTGATGGCCATGCCAAAATTATAGTTTACAGGAGGTTAGGATCCGATCGAGTCCAGAAGCATTCCATAATAAATTGCTCCTATTCCTGCCTCGCCTATTAAGGGAACGAAGACGTTTACCCTTTGTGCTATCATTCGCATTCAGCCCTTTGATGCAGCTTTATCTTCCATACCTTCAGAGGATTGGCTTCACAGTCGTCAGCATGCGATCTATTAAGCATGTGATTTCCATCTCCATTTCTCTGCAACTAGACTAGTTGTTGTTGGTGTTCAGTCTGTTGTGGCTTCGTCTAGCATTTGTATCACCGCGGCGAGTGCAGTATGCTATAACTATGCCTACCAGATTTCGGATTGCATTTTAGGCAAATATTCTCTTTTTCACCTTGACCTAGTCCTACGCATAGTCTGTGAAATATTTTTAGCACAGACTTGACTACAAATGTGCAAAGAGCTGTCATCAGTAGAACGATTAGCTTCGAAGTGTGAGTTAAGTCTGTAGATCTCGGATAGACATATTGGTCAGCATTTTTCCTGACTCCTGGGCAGGCAAAGTGTGCGAAAATGTCTCATTTATTACTCAACGAAAGTGTCTGCCTTTCGCCCCATGCCTTCTCTCGGAGGAATGAAAGCACAGAGAAACTGGGGCATCGTTATCCAGTCTATGCGCTTATGCAACCCTCCTGAAGTTGTACGGTCTAGACGACAGCCGACCTCAATTACTGATTGGCTCGGAATGAAGATCCTGCTTGACCAGGCGATGAAAAGTTCTTTCAGAAGCATTGCCGAATAAATGGGCAAAGTTAATATCCCATCCAACTCGAGACGCCAGCAAATATTTTCATGTATTCCCGGAAGGAAGTGAACTGTTCGCCCAGGCAACACAATCTGCTCAACTTTATGGACGTCCGATGGTGTCGTAAGCAATCACAGTGTCTTGGCAACCAAGTCAGTAGACGTGTGTCCCAACTGCTTGATGCTCACGAAGGCCCGGATGATCCAGCTTCAAACGACTTGTTGTCGATGCCAATCACTATGCGCGCATGCAGCTGGATTACCAGCTTTGGACTCTCGCAAAGCTGGTTCTCTCAAGACCATGGAGCGCACTTTTCATCGCCATTTCTGCTTCCGTTTGCATACGTCCTCGTTGAATCCTATTCGCCTTCTTCCTTGGCTAGGCTCGAGAGCGCAGTTCTCTTGTCCTCCAGCCCAAGATAGGCAAGCTTCCCTCCACCGGATGATCAAAGATGCGCACAAATATTAGCTAAGGACATGGACTCAACACTTCATATGGCTGATCGATAGAAGAAACCGGGTCCCGTCTACAGCAATCAATCAATAGCCGAATAGAACTAGCAACAGTTACATAAGCTGTCATGCGAGCGGGATCTAGTTTGATGTTACTTATTGTCAAAATCACTGGATTCATCCAAGTGATCTTCAAATGTCGACAATCTTGCCCAAACCTTATGAGAATGAGTAGGCATTACATGCATGTTGGTACTTGTCCAAATGCCATGGAATCGCCATCCTACTTATTTTCAGTAAGAGTAGTTTTTGAGGCTATCAGTAGAATTCGAATTAGCATTTAGTCATCTCGGATTGCTTGAAGTGAGTCAAGCAATGGTAGTGGAGTTTTTTCTAACAATAAAATGTTATTGAAGGCTCTTTACTCCACACTGGAATAGTCTTTCAACCTCGCCTTGGTTTCATCTGCCCCTCCAGTGGGATTCAATAGCGGGTCGTAAGTATCGCGACTATGTTTTCCCTACATTGGACTATCTCATTGTGGGAAAATTCACCTCAAAAGACCTAGGCCGATCAAATTCTCGAATCCCATTTACAACGGAATTCTGTATTCCACAAGTTTGCTAAATCAAGCGCACTGTGGAATCGAGCTTCATCCACACTTGTCATCTGGC